GCAGGGAAGCCGCTGCAGCTGTGTAGAGGTTCTTATTCTTATTGTTGTCCGCCCTAGAATTGAAATCCGTTCCCGCGCAGTTTGCAAGAAAAATCCCTCTATGGTTGTTCAGTGACTCGAGATGCACGCAGACTCTCACCAACCACGCGCCCCGGGGAGAGGCAGTGCGCTCGGTCCCCTGGGACTCAGGCGGTCTGCGTCAGGAGCTTGCTGTTTGCTTCTTTTCAATATGGCAGCATCAGATCCAAGTCCTGATTCGGGGGCCCAAGCCCACTTTGGGACGCTCACTGGCAGTCTTAGGGGCACGCCCAGGGCGGTAGGAGAGCGCCGGCAGCAGGGACTCGCTACGAGAAGGCTGGGGGTCGGCAAGTGGCCTGGGCAGCTGGAGAGAGAAGACGTGGATGAGAAACACAAGACCACCTCTAAGCCTCTCCCGGAAGCTCTGTGTTTTCACTGGGATCTTGTCAAGTCCGGAGCTTTATAACTTTGATCGGTCGGGTTCCCATGCAGGGTCGAGCAGAGAAACTGCGGGGAAGGAATCTAATCTTTCTTGTTCATCCGTCCGGTGCGTAATCATTTCCCTGGAGAATTCGGTTTAGGCTGGTAACTATTGCCTGTCCAAGGGAGGTGAGGGGCTGGCTTAATCGGTAGCTGGGAGGGGACCGTGAAGGTGTTAAGAGAAAGACAGTTTAACCCAGGGACAGGGACCCCAGAGGTGTGTGTGTGTGTGACTTCTAATCTAGAGTTTTCTTTTTCCATGGGTCAAAATCAAGCCCTCGTACCTTGCTTTGGAAGTTGGTCTGCATTGAAGGGGAGGAGGAGAGTTGTAAAACATTTTGGCGCGTTTTTTTTTTCTGGAGGTGGTGGTTGAGACACCGCTGAAGTCACAGATGAGTAATCAGCGTGGGCGTTGGCGATTCCATAGATTGAATCCGTGGGGAATACGCCTTCTCTTGCTAGAGGCTTCATTTTCCAATTTTATGAGCCAAACCGTCTTTGAAATGCCCAGCAGGACAATCAATACCCAGGCTGACGTCTCAGTGTCCCACCAGCCCATTGAGCGTTTTGCTTTTGCTCACCGCTTGCTCTGCGCCAGCTCAGTGTTAGGGGCTGTGGAGCAAGAGGAGGAAAAGACCTCAAGGAATCAAGAATATAGAGGAGACTGGCTTAGAAACAAATGATTGCGACTGAATGTAATTCGTGTAGTAATAAAAGCTGAGCTTGGCTTCTCAATATTTGTTAATAGGAGGAATGAAAGTGAAAGGGAATTTGGGAGGGACGAAGAAGATGGCCCAAAGGAGGAAACGTTTGCACAGGGTTCAGGAAGAGCTGAAGGTTGCCAGGAAAACGGGATGAGGGTGGAAAAAGCTCTCCCATCACAGCAAACAGGGACATATAAAGTAGTTTGGTCTAAGCCTTGTAACTGCACACAACTGCTGGGAATTTGGGGGGCTCAAAGGGAGAGAGGCAGATGGAAGGTAGTGACTACTACAGGCTCATGGAAATCCTGCAGTCCTGTCAGAGGGGGAGGGGAGAAACCTGGGGATTTAATCCTTGGGTAGTTACCAAAAGGCGGTTTTTTAAAAATCATTTGATCTATTCTTTCATTTATTTTATTTTGACCACACACACACATACACACAGACACACACACACACAGAAAGAGGGAAAGTGAGAAAGCAAGCTACCAGGTCCAGGACTCGAACCATAATCAGTCATGTGGGAGTGTCCAGCGCCTTAACCACCATGCCACCTGCTGGTCCCACCAAAAGGCTTTATAGTACTGGTAATTGTGTAGGAGATTGGGAGAGAGAGCAAAAAATAAATCCCTCTTCCTTTTCTCACCTGTTAGCAAACTTATATAATTAAATGTGGGAATTGCTTTTCAAAACAAGTATCATAAACCCAAAAAGTGAAAAAAAAATAATAAATGAGAGTTCTTGAAAGGATGTTTTGGGGAAGCGATGATACCGTCAGAAGAAACATTTTTAAAAGAGTGGGGGAAACACCTGCATTTACAATACTGTATTTCCTCTGGCTCTTTCTGGTTAAAATGGCACCACTAACATAGGTTTTAAAATAATAATTCTTTGTGAAAGACTGAGAGTGTTTTCTGAATTTTTTCCCCTTTTGCTTTACATGGCTAAAATGACACTCATTTAGCATTACTATCTTGAGTCTCTTATTTGCTCAGCTCAAGTTAGGATTAAGGCAGTGATGAGAAGCAAAAACCAGTTGATGACAGAACCAGAGCTAAGCATTGGTGATCTTTCTCTGTGATTACTAATCTCTTTCCCCAACTCCATCTACAGCTGATAGAATATTCATTCCCTGAGACTCAGGCTTGGAGCAGGGCCTAAGCTTCTCTATTAAATTATCTATAGGTGAGGCACAACATATGTTTTAAGAAGTATGCTTCTGCTGAAATAAACTGTGGTGAATTGTTTGTCACTTAATTTAAAAATATAGGGAATCTAGAGGGTTTGGTAGCTTCAAATTCAGTACAATTTTGAATAAAGGAACACTAGCTTAAAAGAATAATGAACAGAGTTCTAATTATGCTAGAAATGTTGATAGCCATGTAAAGAAGTGGAACACCTTTCCTAATGTGACAAGTTCTTTCCTGAAAGCCTTGAACTAGTGGGAAATCAAATGGTCACTAGTGGGAACTGATAACAATTACCTCTAAGATTTAAGGGCTGCGTTTTAGCATATTCATGGATCTTTTCAGCTTAATGGGGCATTGACCATACATCGCCCAAGCGATTGCTTACTCTCCACAAGTAATTGTTCTACGAAAGGATACCTCTGATTAAATGGGTATTGTTTTGAGAAATGTCTACCTTTATAATATTGGTGGACTAATACACAAAGAGCAAATCTTCTAAAATGTGTGAAATAGAAGCATCACCAGTCTCCAAGTACACGGTGAGCCACAGTGATAGTATCTTGAGGGTCATCTCAAAACTCTCCCAGGACCTTCCTCAGAGAATAAAGTAACTCGGCTCCAAGGAACAAGCTTAATACACGATGCCTGTCTCTAAATTAGTTGGGTTTCAAACTTGTTTGGGAAAGTAAAATGTTAAGTTTTTTCTTTTGTAGATTGGATCTCTTGAAAATCACTACTTGTTCAAACATAAAAACCATCCCCGAAGGTCTCGAAGGAGTGCTCCTCATATCACTAAGAGATTATCTGATGATGATCGTGTAAGTGTGTGCATTTGCCTTCAAACCAATTCCCTCACTTACCTACTCTGTTATTTTCAATAAGAATGCAAGCGTTTTGCAAATATGATTGTTTTTTATGGTGATTACGATTTTTTCTGTAATGTTTCTAGTTTCTTTTCACAGTATGATAATTACACGTTAATAAGATTGAACTGGATTGGTTGAGCTAATTAAACCTAATTACATTTGTACGTGTGTGTACATATATGCGTGTATATATCTTACATATAATTAATTTAATTATACTTACTTATATGTAGTCAGTTGTATGATATAAAAATTAATTATAATTATGTATAATATATTATATATACCTTATATAGTACATACATAGATTACATAATACATGTGTGTGTTTGTGTGTATATATTCACAAATTCAATCTAAGAAAATTAGGTAGTAGGCCAGCTCCATGGACTGGTGATTGAGGCAGCCAGATCCCACATGGCTGACCTTATAGTTTGAGTCCCAGACCTGGTAGCTTGAGAACCACACCAGGCATGTATACGTGCAAGCCCACATCCTAACAGGATGGAGAAAGGGGTGTTAGCACAATCATCTGAGTAGTGCTTTCTCCCGCTTTCTCCTGTCTCTCTCTCTCTCTCTGGAAAATGCACTTTCTTTCTGGCAAAACTAAAAAAAAAAAAAAGAAAGAAACAAATAAAAACTAGATAGCAGCACTAATAAAAATTTCGTCACTATGACCGATAAACAAATCTTTTATTAGTTACCTGGTATGTACCAAAGAGTTTAATGCCAATGCGGGGATGCCAAAGAAATATATGGCCTTTCCTTTAATAAAATTTTATTGTACTTCAAAAACATTCCACCGTTTCTATTTGGTTTTGCTCTGTAGGGAACTAGTATTCATGACAGTGCTCTAATCCATAACGCCATGAGGCAAATGTTTCTACTAGTATTATTAGTATGTAGTATCTCGTAATATGTATTGCTATTCCAAACTATTGTGTCTCCTTTTATGTTACTTTGTATGTAGGTTTAATGGTTAGGTAACAGCAAGTAATGTCTAGAATGAATATGGATAAATAGAGTGGGAACAACTTGAATGTGTGTCTGATGTGCCTATTGCGTTTTTTAAGTTCATTTTTAAGGTCAGAAGACATATCAATAGAATGTGTTGACAATATTGGGGGCATTTCACTTTGCATACACAGTATGTCCTTTTTTCAAGAATGTGCCATGCTGATGGAAATTTATCCTGGTTGGCCTAATACCTATATATATGATGTCAGTTGGGAAAGGACACCCTGGAAAATTATGGTGACAGGAAGCAGTCTCTCAACTTCTCAGAAAAAGAGAAACAATACTGAGTTTAAGTGATGGAACGGTGATAGAAGTGTTAAAAGAACATGGAGTTCATGAATTCTGTGAAATAATTTGCTAGGGTTTTTTAGTTCGAAAACTGATAGAATTTTAAAAAGAAGAAGACAAATTAAGAGGGTAGGGAATGATCAGCCTGGATCTGGATCACTAGCATTGAAATGTAATAAGAGCGAGCATATCCAGACAAATAATGCTTTATCTAGACCATGGATAGTGACCTTTCAAGAAGTTATGGCTAGATGGGGAGACCAAAACAGAGGTCCTGAACCTTACTTTGAAGATTTTTGCTCATTGAGGTATTCTGTTCCCCACTCCAGAGCAAAAAGCTAATTGTACATGGGCTCGGAACGTAAGTGTAGAACAAGTTCCAGCATCCTGGCCAGGCTTAGTCCTTGGGTAAAGCAAGAGGAACATGCTTCCTTCTCTGTCTAAATGCATGCCCAATATATTGGTGTATAGAAAGTCAAACTGACTTCCACTCTCATCTTCACTGGAGAATATTAGATAGAATGATGCATACCAAACTGTTCTTACTCAAAATGTCTCATGAAAATGAACCTGTGACCCAGTTTCACTCTTTAGGTATTGCCATGAGAGTTGATTATGGGGAAATGCCAAGGCACAATTTGAGGAAAAAAAATCATAATTTGAAAAAATATTATTCTTCACCAAGAAAAGCCCAATAAAGTGAAAAACAAGAACAATTTTAAAACATAAATACAAGAAGATGCACTTTACCATCTGACAAAAGAATTTACTCTTCAACATAACTTCATTTAAAAAGGGATTCATATAATCTTATGAAAAATTAGCCCCAGAATAATATAATGTTTTTAGAGAGATTTTTGCTATAGGGCAGGAATTCTTGCCAGAGAGACAGTATGTGAGAAATCCCCACTCTCCCAGAGAGGATGGTCATGTGGCAATCCCTCCTCCTCCATTCTCCTCTTTGGATTTTGGGCATGCATGCACATGCACCCATGTGAGTTCCAACTTGCCAGGAGTGAGTTCCACGTCGCTAGGTCTGGGACTCGAACCATGGTCAACCATGTCAGAGTCCAGCAACGTAACCATTATGCCACTTGCTGGTCCTGGCCCCAGAACAATATATTTTGGGGAAAAAAATCCTTAGACTGTAGCAGCTTGTAGTGGAAGATTGTACTAGATGATCTTTAATACTCGTTCCAGATGAAAAGTGTTTCCCCCCCACAATTAAGCACATGATACCGATTATATCAGTAAATGCAATAGAAAAACACCACCAATTTTCTCTGTTCCATTTGGTCTGTTCATCTACAGATTAATATGCAACTCTGAGTTAATGACATTAATCATAACACAATTTCTTACAATTGGATGTTTATCTGGTCAGATGGCAGAGTGCCTCTTTTTATATTCCATTTTTAAAAATTGCTCTTCATTTTCATTTTATTGGTCTTCTTCTGATGGAGGATAATAGTTTTTCAAATCAGCCCTGTGAAATTTAGTGACAGACTATTTTTACAAGTCTCTTAATAAAATTTGCAACTGTAAATGACCCTCTCCCCCAAAGATTAGGACTTGTTCCCTAGCAGCCAGCTTCCTAAACCCAACTCAGATGACAGGCAGTGTATTCCAAGCACTGAGGTATTTTAAGCCAAAACAATTAAGCTTGAAAATACAAGCACTTTAAAAATAAATTATAGTGACTAATTTCTAGCTCTCAAGTCCCTCCCAATGTTTATAATAGGTTTACAGGATATATTCTCATTGAAAATTCAGGGGAGTCGTAGAGGACCATTTTATCCTTTAGTCGCAAATTCTTTTCCAGGTTTTTATTTTTGAATCTGACTCATGAGTACTGTCACATTAACAATATTCCACCACACACTGAACTATCTATATAAATAGTATACATATATATATTATATAATGTATGTATAAATGAAAAAATGTGTTTGGGTAGGAAATATTCATTTTTTTCCAAGCAAAATTAGCATACAGCATTATCTCATAATGAGTGTAACTGCAAGGCAGCTCCTCACTCTCTTAGGGCCTCAAGTATAATAGGATTAGGCCATAAATGTAGTGCAGGCAATTTTCATATTGTCAGATCTCTTTGCATAATACATGAGACTGAATTAATGGTAAGTGTGGTGGTCAGCAGTGCTCATTCATCACCCTAGGTCTGTTTCTCATGTTAAATACTCTTAATCAGGTTAAAACCCAGGGGAGCCAGAGTTTCCTATTTGCAAAAACACGGTACCATTGTTGGGTAGCATTTGCAATTTCTACCATGTGTGTGTGCAGAGAAAGAAATTAGGCTGTAAGAGCACAATAATAACAGTCTCTGCCATCTCTTAGTTTATTGACTCATTCCATGAACGTGGACAAATTTTCAGCTACGGAGCCCTGGGACCTCAATATAAAAATGGATATTATGGTCCATTTGCTGATAAAAGCAGGCTGAACTTTTACATCCACTGTAGCCACAGTGTAAATAATTTGAGGGAAACATCACTTCACTGGCTGCTTCTCCCCCTAAAGGTATATGTGACTGTAATAGAGGAATGTTTATCTTCTAATGGGCAATTCCTTCTCCCTGAACCATCAGTTTGATCTGTAGGCCAACAAAAATATTGTGAATCTGCCTAAGCTCTGATGAGAAGGGTACTTTTGATAGTTAGAGGGATGATAATTATACAGAGGTGGCTATTTGACTGTTTTTCTGCTATAAAAATTCTTGTAGGTGATATGGGCTGAACAACAATATCAAAAAGAGAGAAGTAAACGTTCGGCTCTAAGAGACTCAGCACTAAATCTCTTCAATGATCCAATGTGGAATCAGCAGTGGTACTTGGTAAGTACCTGTGGAAGAACTATGGGATGTTTATATGGTTATACCTGTACAATGATTTTTTTTTAAAATAATAATTGGGATGGGACCAGCATATGGCATAATGATTACATTGCTGAACTCCCATATAATCATCCACAGTTTGAGTCCCAGTCCTGGTGACTTAAAACTCATGTGGTGCACATGTGCATGCATGCCCAAGATCCCAAGAGAAGAATGAAGGAGAAGGGATTGTGGCATGGCCATCCCACTGCGGGGGGCGGGGGGTGGGGACGGCAGTGATTTCTCATTTGCTATCTCTCTGTTGCTCTGGTGAGTACACATGCTCTATAGCAAACATCTCTCTTCAATAAATAAATAAATATATAAATAAATAAAAATAATTGGGAATTTGGCAGAGAACTTTGCTATCTGGAGATTAGGACTGATGGAACCTTGCTTGTTATGGATTTTCTGTTTCACTGGATGAGGGTGTCTAACACAGATCTTTAGTTGTTTGGGAGGTGGGGTTGTCATCTTTTTGTCTAAAGCTTTTCTGGGATAAGTGCAAAAGAATAATTTCTTACAGGTTAGTGGTCCAAAAACAGTACTCACGACAAAAAATTATATGTAGTTAAAGCTTTTCTTGAGCACACTTTAAAATCACTCACAGAATATCGTGGACATGATTTGCTGTGTACATCCCTGAATGGCAATTCTTACATGGCATGGGAGAAAAATTTCTGAATGAGGCTACAGTCAGGAACATGGGGCAAGTCTATTTGCAAATGTCTAGACTTGTGAACTATTCTACCTTTAAGATAGTTCTCATGTCCTTGTTAATGTGGGGGCTTTGGAGAAATTGTAAGTGTTGCTCTTTGCCTACAGGGTGTTCTGTCTTCTGTCTTAAAGTTAAGTCTTTAGAGTAGTAATACATGATAATAGAATGGCTTTTTGTTGAGAATATTATAAAAGATAACTTTCATGACAACCGTAAGCTAAGGTTTAGGCACTCTTGCTGACAAATTGATGGGAAAGGAGATCATCTTCTCTTACCCCATTATTAACCTAAGTATGCTCGCTCATTGCAGCAGAAGAGACTTATCAGCTAGCCCTTGTGCTTTTACTGGGTGCCAAATCTTATTCTAAGTGTTTGACATGAATGAACTCATTTAGTCCTCACAACTACCTGTTGTTATAGATACAGTAATTATGCTCACGTAACAGATGAAGAAGCAGAACCATTGGCAAGTTCAATAATTTGCCCAAATCACATGGCTATTAGTGGTGGTGCCATAATCCATGGCTTCAGAATCTGCACTCTTCACACCAACATTCTGTTTGATCCTGCAAGTGACATAGGGGCCTTCATCTCTGATGTTGACCAACAACCTGTGTGTGGTTCCAGGCTTTGGAAATTCAGCTTCACGCTGAATAAATTCTTGCACCCTCCATCTCCTTTCTCAGGAGTAACAGCAAAAATAATTTCATCACTGAGTCTTTTTGATTGTTATTACTTACAAATTTCTTCTGGACCCCTTCACCAGGCATCTGGCATGCTTACACTCTAACTTGGAAATGTTTTTATGCCTGTGTCTGTTTTTCTCTTGCCACCTGAGGAGTTCCACACCCTGCAACTATCAGAAAAATTATCTGAAAAGAAACATTCTCTAAATCACTCATACTCTGAAACAGGCAATTATATTTCAATTCCTTGTAAGACCACAGTCTCCTGATTATTCCACATCCTGCCTCTTCTTTTAAAAGAAAAGTTCTAAAACACCCATAGGCGACTATGCATTAGACATAAAAAGAGCTCAGTGTGGCAATCGAGGCTCAAGATTTGGGGTAAGACGAAATCACAGGCTGTCCAATAAAGCTTCAGTATATGAAAAGCTTGGACAAATTATTATGGTGGAAAGAAACTTGGGGACAAACTTCTGAAACCATGTATTTCAAAGAAAAAGATCCCAGGGTGATTCATCCTTTCAAGTGATTTTCCACTGGAACAATTGAGAGAAGACCAGCACTCTGATGATTCATTCGGCCCTACCCTCAACTGTTTTATTTTTTATTTTTTCATTTCTTATTGCTTCTCCTAGAGTAGAATGACCCATGGATAAAGAAAGATGGGATCTCCTGTTGAAGCTGAAGTTGCCATTTTGGAGCAGGTACATCATGATTGAACCAATGCATCTTTGTCTTTTTAACTTTATATTTCATTTTACTTTATTTTTCACCAGCAAGACACAAGAATGACCGCAGCCCTGCCCAAGCTGGATCTTCATGTGATACCTGTTTGGCAAAAAGGCATTACAGGCAAAGGAGTTGTCATCACAGTCCTGGATGATGGCTTGGAGTGGAATCACACGGACATTTATGACAATTATGTGAGTATGGGCCCTCCTCTGATACTTAGGGAGATGTCTACACAGTTGTGCATAATTTAGGCTTTTCTTCCCTTCAAAGGGAATGCAACTCTGATGTCAGCCCTTGGGATGATAAGCCAAGGTTTTACCCCTTCTCTTGCCCTCTCACTAGCCCGTATGAACTGATTTTGTACCAGTTGACATTGACATAATTTAGTGGAGTCAAGGATTGTACAAAGCATGTGTTGAGAGAGATGGATGGGTACCTATACCAACTAAATTTTTAAAAGCCATTCGTGCTCTAAGCTGCTCAGTGTTTGAGCATTAAAGCAATAAAATCAAGCCTGATGCATAAAGTTATTTTGTCGTCTTCCTTCTTATATTCCTTATGGATCAGTATCCCTGACATTTTGAAGTTATATGGAATTTGCAAACTCAAAGTGAACACACACAGTGCAAAAATTAAAAGCTGAGAAAGGAAGAGTTTACTAGAAATGAGAAAATTAATAAATGTAAACTATTTTCTTGTTTATGAAGTTCATAATATAATATGAAATCTATAATATAGTTAGGTTTTTAGATTAGGGTGGAAGATCCTTCACCTTTAAGATGGTCTCATTTTTTTTAGATTTATTTATTTAATTTTATTTATTATTTATCATTTTTTACTTTGACCAGAGAGAGAGAGAGAGAGACAGAGAAAGTGAGAAAACAAGCCACCAGGTCCATGACCTGAACCATGGTTGGCCATGTGTGAGTCCAGTGTCTTAACCTCCACACTACCTACTGGCCACAAGACTCTCTTATCTTTTTTTTATTCTTTTTACATATCCAACATTACCCAGACACAACTCAAAGCTAAAGAGCAAAAGAAAGAAAGAGAGAAATAGAGCAGATCAAAAAGATTAGCATAGGATAGAAAGTATTAAAAGATACAGCAATTATTGAAAAGTAATAGTAGAATTTATATGTGGGAAATGCTTAAGTGTAGCAATCTGGTTGAAGCTTGTCTTGGATTTCAAGCATACTCTCTTTAATTAAATGACATATTTATTTAGCGGACCTGAGAAGGCTGTGGGAGGTCACCATGGTCCTGAGCCCCATTCTAAAGCCTACTCTTTGAACCCATGTTCATTAAAGAAATGAGTATCAAAGTGTAACTAACCAGATCCATTAGTTAAGTCATTCAGCTTCTCTGGGCCTCAATTTTATCATCTGAAAAATGAAGAACTTGAGCTAAGAAAACTCAAATTTCTTTTAGGTTTTAATATCCTTGGAGTGTCTGTGAGTTATAAGTTTGGTAACATTCACTGACAACTGTGTGGTGATTCATTTTGCCATGTTCATCATCTTTGCTTGGTTTGTGGATATAATAAATGTTCAGTGACTGGACCTGAAACTCTAAAATGCAGGCTATGAAACTATAGCCAGGATGAAAAGGTTAGAAAAGTACAGTATCTTGTTTTATTTTGCTTTTATGACGCTACCATGTTATTTTTGTTGTCTCTTTAGGATCCGGAGGCTAGCTATGATTTTAACGATAATGACCATGATCCGTTTCCCCGATATGATCCCACAAATGAAAACAAGTGAGTAAATATGCATTTTGTGGAAATGAAGACCACTTAAATGCTTTTATCTTATTTGAGAAAGTGATTCTATAAATTTCATCCACATTTCACCTCCCTGAAAATGTTAATGCACATTATCCATACCACAGTATTTTGTTGCTTTTAAAAAAAGAAACCAAAACTTTGATTTTTTTTTTTTTTGGAGAGATTTTTGCTATAGGGCACATGCACTCACCAGAGAGACAGAGAGAGACAGAGAGACAGAAAGCAAGAAATCACCCCTCAGGGGGGATGGCCACGCCACAGTCTCTTCTCCAATCTCCTCTTGGGATCTTGGGCACGCACGCACATGCACCTGGCGTAAATTTAAGCCACAGAGTCCAGGATGTAAACCACAGTTGACTGCATGGGAGTCCAGCGACATAGCCATTATGCCCACTGATGGTCTCCAAACTTTGACTTTTATAGTCTTTTTGGTTTACTGAGCCTATTTTAATTTGGCTTCAGATATGATGAAATTCTCTTTTTTTTATTATGAAAATGTCATCCTCCAGTGTTATGAGCAGTTGTTACTTTAGAAAGAATGGAACATAAAGAGTATGAAATTTGAGTCCTCCCCTGACCCTACTCCCATAAGAATTCTTCTATGAATCTTTCACTACTAGCAACATTCTTCATGTTAGTCATGAAAAATTTATAAATATATATAAAGAAATCCCTATGTCTTCTCATGGTGCCTACAACTTCCCTCACCAATTTCCTCAGAAGAGGATGGCCTGACTTGGGACAAGAGAAATGCACCTGAGACCCCTGCGTCTAACACAGTCTCTAGGGCGTTAAACTAGTCAGTGTCCTGACCTGGAGTTCTGCTGGCTCTCAAGCCAAAGGAAAGAGAAAAGGGACAGCAACTCACTCCTAGACTAGCTATCTCTCCTGTTATAGCCACAAGGTAATACAAAGGCCTAGAACCAAATCTTTCAGAGAAAGAGCACAAGAAAGACTCAGGGCAAGAGAATTTTCACCCTCTATACCAGGCTCATAGAAACATCAACTTCTAAGCACATGGTCAAAGTGTCTCTGCTGATGTAAGAATTCATCTTTGTTTATAACTGATATTTCTCATGAACTTCAAAAAGATACTCAAACTTTCCTTTTCATTTTTCCATGCAGAAGGGACTTATACAAAATAGATGAAAATCAAGGTTGATATTAGGGGTTTCTCCTACAAGGGGGTTGAAGAGAGGAAGGCAACTAAAAGCTCTTGCTAGATGTCACAAAATTTGCTTCTCTTTCTCTTTGGATGGCTCTGTCTCTTGGCCATGACCCAACTTGAGTCAGTCAAGTTTCTCCCTCTCTTTCTTAGAATCCCGTGTGGTTAGTAATAATAACCTATATTTTTTTTCCCTTTTTTTGGATGGTCTCCCTTCCAGAAGGCCAACAACCCTAGGAAAATAGGCAGGGGTGCAAATTCTTGGCCTCAACTTCTGGGTGTATATTTCTTCCTTGGGGAGGAAGGCATGCTTTATAGAAGGTTAAAGATACCATTTCGTTTAGTACCATTTATTTCTCTGAGACTTTGAGAAAAGGAGTTAACCACAAACACCCACTTAGAAATTGGGATATTTGAATAATAATACAATAAGAACCTCTGTTAGGGACACTCCTGGAGGAAAGCAAGAACATCTGAGGATCTTTATAGTAGGGCCCTCAGACAAACTTTTAGCCATGTATCTGAAGAAGGTTAGTGGGTGATCAGCAGAAACATGTACTCTTTTGGAGCACAGCCTTTTAATGTTACCCTGGCTGGTAGTTATGGCTTTGCTATTTACCACATAGAAGATAATTTTGAGGAAATCATTTTTTCTGCCTCCACATTTTTTTTAGACTCCTAAAATGACTACAAAATACCTAACTCTGTTTCTGAAAGGAACTTTCTAAGGAAATGGATGAAAAGTGTTTAGAAGAAAAGGACAACTGTCATAGAACAGAGTAAAAAAAAAAATAACTTCCATTTTGCCCCCTTGATTAAGAATAAGATGTGTGTTCCCAGCCCCATAGGTTAGCCCAGGCACTAGCCTCCTGCCATGACAGATCCTGGATTTGGCCTTAGGACCCAGGATGGATCCTAAGGCCAGATAACTTGTATGGTAGCGGCATAGTAGAGACTATTTTGTACAATAACACTCAGAGGGTTTCTCCAGCTGTGAGAAGAAGGACTCAATCCTCTCTCTTCCCTCCAAAATAAGAGAAACCTCACACCACAGCATTTATAGTAGCAACATTTCCCTCAACTCAGGGAGTTCAAAACACCCCAAGGAAACAGTACAAGTAATGACGATTATGTTTTATTTTTGCCCCAGAACTCTGAGCTTCTGGAGTTTAGCCTGCCATTGGTTTCCACATATCAGGAAGCTAGTGTGGCATGGCTCAACACTTAAAATTACACCTTCTGGACCCACATATAGATCAAATTTTACATTTGCCACTTAATAGTTGAATGACCTTGAGCAAATTACTTAACTTTTTTGTGTTCAGGTTTTATAATTTTTTGAAAGGGGATATTTACTTCATTGGGTTATTATGGAGGTTAAATTATATGTGTGTGTGTGTGTGCATTATATATATTTATATGGATATATAGATGTATATAGCCAGGTACATTAAAAAAATTAAATAAGTGTTTGCTGTGATGATGATGGTGATAATAATGACAATGCTTATGATGATGGTGACAATCAAGTCTTCTCATTTAGCAACTGAAGCAGGCCTTTCAGTGAGATATCAGCATGGCAAGAATAGTATCCTCCAATAGAGCCATAAAGACAGACAAGTCAATTTGCTGAGCCAGTTCAGAATCTGCTATAAGAAAATGACTCAATGAACAACTATCTCTCAGGGTCCTTTTGACTATTAACCGAAAAGATGGCATCCCTATCATTTATCAGAAGGCATAATAAAAAATAGAGGGAGTCTTCTAGCATGTTGTTAGACATAAATCTCTTAGGTTTGGAAAATGAATAGCCTCATTTTGTCTTCTCTTTTACAACAATTGGAGACTTATTATCTTCCAATTCCAAGGGCATAATCTCTCCAAACTATCTGTATGGCTGCTGCTCTTTGTTACCATGCAAATGAGATTAATAGAAACCACATTTAAATTTTCCTCTGCAAATCAAGAGAGGAATCACTAAATTATAAAGTCTTAAAAGTGTGGGTAACTCTTACTATTAGTCTGGCATGAATCTGTATTCAGTATTTCAACACCAATTACAGATTATTTTTCTGGTTAAATAATATGCGTGACAAGGATATTTTAACAGGAACAATAGTAGTCTTTAAACTCTTATGGAATAATTTTTAAAAATCAATTTGTTTAAAGGTTAATTACTACCATTGTTCAAATATAATAGAGGGTTCTTTTATCTCAACACCTGCTCTAGGAAAGAAAAAAGAACTGCGGGTCTATAAAGAAATGGCATAGACATGTTTTGATAAAGTCTTCCTTTTTCCTCAATGTGTGGAGGTGAGAAGTAAGGTTAAGAAAAGCAAAAATTATCAGTGCATATTTATTCCATGATCCTACTGGAACTTTCTCTAGAAAAGTCAGTCAGTCTTTAGCATAAAAATAAGGAGAGAGAAGTAATAGGTGATGTCATATTGAAACATTTAAAACATTTTTTCCTTTATTGATGATAGAGTACATGGTCCACATACACTTGATAGAGAGAGAGAGAGAGAGAGCAGCACCCTCCACAGGGTCTGGAACGCTACAGTCCCTTCCTTCATTGGTGGTTCTTGGGCTCATGCGTGCATGCCCAGCATGATTCAGGCTGATAGGTCCAGGGATTTGAAACACATCCCTTGTGGGATCAAGCTTTTCTTGAGAAGCACATTACCACTGTGCCACAGAGCCAGTGCACACTGCACTATTTTTGAAGACAGAAGCACAGTGCTGGGTGTTTGTCATATTGATCATGTTGGCTCATGCTGGAGACCTATGCTGGGTTCTTCTGCTATCCTGGGTCCTGCCCCCATCCTGTGTAAATGGAAGTACACACAGTAGTGACTTCTGAAAGCACATATCTCAGAGAATGACAGCTAAAGTTTGCCCTCTACAAATGCAAGGAAGTCTGATCCACCAACATCAAAGTACCTTTGCTGTGTTCAAGTATATACCCAATTTTCTGACAGTGGATGTGTGGATGAGGACAGCTTCAGTTACAAGAGAAAAGTAAAGTAAAATGGGGACTTAAAAAATACTACATCTAAGGACTACTTGGGCTTCAGATGTTACAAGGTCCAGGAACTCAAAGAAATCAAGAGATCTTCAAAAAAGTACATGGAAAATGAGTATTATGAAGAACTGATGATTTCAGGTTTTTGGCATCTTGTCTTTGTAGAGTAATTCCACTTTTCTGTGACATTTTTGAAGCCCCCATGTATGCCCTTAGATCACAAACCACTCTGTTTCCACCTCCTTCTGCCGTTCACCTCTACTCAGCTTCATTCAGTCTCAGTAGAATTTTGCCGAAATGAGATCACATGGTTCACATGGCACTAAAAGTTCAGGATTCCCAAAGAAGAGTGTAGTTTTCCTCCACAGATTTTATAACAGTTTTCGAAAGGCATCTGGGTGGAAGGGCCCCATGATTGAGAGAATCATAAGGAGTCAGAGAGGGCCATTTTCCAAAAAGGGAAAATGTTAGTGTATAAAATAGAAGCAAATGTCTTCTGCAACAAAGAAGACCTTGAATTAAAGATAATTATATTGTTCTGACTTAGAATTTCTATCCAGTTTGTAACAATGGAGTAGGAATGTCATTTAGTGGAAGGAGACCAGGAAATCATCTTTGGTACTCTAGGAAAAAGAGATAGGTAAATAGAGTTCCTTTGGATGGCCTCATCAGTTTAGGAATTTTGCATTCCACACCAGGTCAGATTACCAGATGGCCGGTCAGTGGACTCTAAAAGTAGTTGGCTGGCAGTGTTGCTCAGAGCTGACCCTCTTCTGTTTCCCTCTGTGCTAATGTATCCTTTGTGTCAGTAGCTCTTCCAAGCCACTGCAGCCTTCACATGGCTGGCTCCCTGGTGTTCACACGGTGGAAAGAAGTCATGAAATACATGAATTCACATGAAAATGTTCTTGATGTATTGGCCCTTCTGGGTCAAGATGGTGGTGGGAAAAGAATTTCCCTAGAATTTCAGAATTAATGCTTTAGTGATGGAATGTGATGTGTTTTAGAGCTGGACTTTCCTCCCCAAACACTCTGAGAGTATAAATTACCCTCTTTGCCTGATTATAAGAGCAATCTTGTTCAGGTGTCTGGCCCCAGTCAGAGTTGTAGTACCCTGTCTTCCTAGTTAGCTTGTATGTCATGAGCAAATCTCAGACTTCTCTTGGTTCCAGAAAGTCTCAGAGATTTCAGTGTGATGTACAGTTAAGAAGGAGAAAGGTTAAAAAGGGTACTCTGTACTATCCTATCAGTAGGTAACACTGGGCTCTGAATATGTGTCAAACACTGTTGTCAGTGTTCTGCACACAATATCTGATATGATCTTCACAACAACCCTTTGAGGATAAACTTTACCTGAGGTCACACCACTAGTAGTGACAGAAGCCAGAATTTGGGCTTAGATACTTTGGAGTCTCTACCTGTGTCTTTCATCAGAACATAACTTTCATCTAATACTGATGGGAAGAAAACAAGCAACAAGGCTGACAAAAACCATATATGTATATATACACACACATACACACACATGTACCATGGATTTATATACAAAATAAACATGTATCCTCATTTATATTATGCAATTCTTTTTTTTTCTTTTTAAACTCTCAGACATGGAACCAGATGTGCAGGAGAAATTGCTATGCAAGCAAATAATCGCAAGTGTGGAGTTGGAGTTGCATACAATTCCAAAGTTGGAGGTAAAGCAGATGCTGTCCTGTAGTGTGAAGTTTTAATTTGAGGCTTGTAGCCCTCATTGCAAATGGGGTGGTGGGAAGGGAGAAGGGAGTGGAGGTTTTTGTTTTTGTTTCTGTTTTTGTCTTTAACAGCCAGAGGAAGAAATGATCTCCATACGAAATGTTCTGCAGGACTTAAGTGCGATTTGCAGGGAAATCAATGGATCTGGATACCTAAAAACTGAAGAGCTGAATATTGGCTATACATCTTTGCAGGGGGGAAAATGGAAATGTTGAATAGTATCTGAACCAAATCCAGTTTTCTTTCTAATCTGATTTAGAAGGGTTTGTTACTGAGTGCTTGCTCAAGGAACAGAAGGAGGAAGTGAATTTCGGCAACATTTTTCTGCCTCTGAATTCTGTAGACATTCTCTATTTCATAGCAAAGAACAGCTTCATTTTAAAAGATGCATACTTATTACAGTAAGGAGCTAGAGATCTGATAGCAAGCAGGTAGAATCTCGAGTTGTTTTAGTCAGTGTCCTTATGGGGAAACACATGGTAAGTTCCATTAGGGTGATTAGGGGATTTTAATAAGAAATTAGTTACAAGAGTTAAAGGAAACCAATAAGGGGCTAACAAATGTAGGCAGATGTTAGCACCCTTAGGTCTATAGAAGCAAGGGGAAGGCGAGGTCAGTGCAACTGGAGAGAGAAAGCAGCAGTCAGAGCGGAGAGTTACTCGGCAGTAGCTGAGGCCTTGGGTATAACCGCAGAGCTACTTCCAGTCGGGGCAGCCAGGGGAATACGTAACTCAGTCTCCTCTCTCCAACCCTCTGCAGATGTCTTCAGTTGGCTGAACCCAATGGGAATACAACAGAGAAGGGAGAGTGGATCTGCAGGGGCTAACAGAGAAGATAGCTATTGTCTTTTCTCTTTACACTATCCTTACTTGAGACTTTCAAGGTTCTACTCTAACTTTTGAATTTAGTTTAGTTTTCAAAAACTATAACCACACAAAGACTGAGTCTATAACATGCCAATCACAGTAAAACCCCATTAAACCTATACTCTGAATTCAGTTATGTATTCTTTTCTTAATTATTTTACTTAACTTTATTCATTATTATTATTATTATTATTTTCCAGTTTGGTCAGAGAGAGGCAGAAAGAGAGAGAGGGAAAGTGATAAAGCAAGCCACCAGGTCCAGGACTTAAACCATGGTCGGCCAGGTGGGAGTCCAGCGCCTTTAACCACCATACCACCTGCCAGCCCTGGTTACATATATTTTTTAAGAAGCAAAACATTGGGTTGTCAGAAAAGTAAAAAAATACTTCATGGCTTTTCCGATGATCCGATTATATACATCCTGGCATTTATAACGCAACTCTCCTTGAAACAGGAGACCCTTAGATTTCAGTGTCGCTCCTGATTCCTTTGAAGCTAGTGTCTTCAAAGTGCTGTGTTCATTTAAAGAAAATGAAGTTTGAAGCAGAAGTTATGTAATCAACTATTATAGAAAAAGAATTCCTTTTTAAGTCATGAGGAACTACATAGTGATAGTTTGTGAAAGAATCATTTGATCCCTTTATTCTAAAATGGAAGACTCAGAAGTAGGTCCCAAGGTGACAGAGGCTATTTAGTTTGAGACAGTATAGAGCTGAAACATAAGACTTCTGATTCTCAGCCTACTAATATTTTTGTTCCTCTGCCCTTTATGGTCTAGCTTCAAATCCTACTTTTTAAAAAATAGCTTTCATTTATTAAGCACCTATTGTATGTACACAATAGGTGGTGTGTCCTGGCAGTTAATAGGATGGATTTGGGTGTCATATTTCTTTTTTTTTTTCTTTTTATTGTTCTTATTTTTTTAAACATTCAATCGCTATACATCATTTGGCTTTTAAAGAGAATTTACCCAACATGAACTACATCTCAGACCAGTCCAGTTGAGAATACTATACTATATGTTATCATCAACAGGTAATAAACCATTTCCGTGTCCCACAAATGTCTTGCCTAATTTTTCTCCCTGATTTCTTTATACTCTTCCCTTCTCCCACCCTCCTTCCACACTGTCTCCAGCAACCATAACTATTTTCATTGCTTTTCTGCCTTCCCTCCGATCTTTCAATCTCTACCATAGATTGCAGATAGTATATATTAAATAGAAACATACAATATCTCTCTTTTATAGCCTGGCTTGCTTCACTCAGCAACAAATCTTCCATATTTGATGAATTTCTATCAAATGCCAGGGTCTTGGTTTTTTTAAATTAAACTTTTTTTTATAGCTGAATAGTATTCCATAGAGTATATGTGCCATACTTTTTCAATCCATTCATCTCTTTGTGGACATTTGGGTTCCATATCTTAGCAGTCATGAATAACGCTGCAATAAATGTTGATGTGCAAGTGATTTTTCTGACTGAAACTTCTCCTGTCCTTTGGGTAGATACCCAGGAGTGAGATTGCTGGATCATATGGCAGTTCTATTTATAGGTCTTTGAGGAAGTTCCATATTGTTTTCCACAGTGGCTGGATGAATTTACATTCTTACCAACAGTGTAGAAGAGTTTACCTTTCATAACAACCCTGCCCACATTTACTATTTTTTGTATTTTTAATCTTCACCATTCTGACAGGGATTAGGTGGTATCTCACTGTGGTTTTAATCTGCATCTCCCTTATGGTGGGAGATGTTGAGCATTTCCTCACATGCCTTTTGGCTGTTCCTATATCTTCTGTGGAGTTTTTTGTTCAGCTCATTTTCCCATTTTTTAATTGGGTTAATCTTTTTTTTTTTTTTTTTTTTTTCAGATAAGCTGCTTCAGTTCCTCTGATATAAACCCACTTGTCTATTTTGGGGATTATTGCCTGTGCTTTGGGAGTCTTATTTAAGAAGTCTTTGCCTGCCGCTATGTCTCCCAGAGTTTCCACAGTGTTTGTCACCAGTAGATTTATAGTTTGAGGTCTTAGGTTCAGATCTTTGATCCATTTTGAGTTAATTTTTGTTAATGGTGAAAGATAAGGATCCAATTTCATATTTCTGCAGGTGGATACCCAGTTTTTCCAGTATCATTTGCTAAAGAGGCTTTTCTTTTCCCACTGGATTGACTGGTATCCTTTGTCAGAAATTAGTTAGATGTATGTTTTCGGTTTACTTCTGGGGTCTCTTCTATTCCATCGGTCCACCTGTCTGGTTTTGTGCCAATACCATACTGTTTTGATTATCACAGCTTTATAGACTATTTTGGGGTCAGAGAGAGAGATGATGCCTACTCTACTCTTCTTGTGCAGGATTGCTTTGGCAATATGATTATAATTCCAGGCAAATTCTGATTGTCTTTTATAGATCTGTGAAGAATGTATCAGGTAATTTGATTAAAATTGGGTTAAATATGTAGATTAATTTAGGTAGAATTGTCATTTTGATTATTGGGGTGCCAGATTTCTAGGGTTCAAATCCTGGCTTCTCTATTTTAAGCTCTGTGGCTTTAGGCAAGTCATTGTCCCTTATCTGGCTTCAATCTCCCCAACTATAAAATGTACAAAATTACAGCACTCATCACAAATGGTCCGTGTCAGCATGGATGAATTCATACATGTAAGGCCTGTAGAGTGGTGGCGGCACATAGAATATCCTCAATGCGCTTGACGTGTTACTATCATTTGCATTTTATAGTTAAAGAAATTTTGGCACAGGGAGTTAAAGTGACTTGCCCAAGATCACATACATAGCTAGTATTAAACAGAGTTGGGGTGTTTTTTCTTTCCAGATGCATTTTTAAATTATCTTTATAAAGAAACATGACTTTCACTGCTCATGTCAATTACAGGTTCTTTTACCTTTGCTCAGTAGTAAATAATACAGTAACGTGAACATCAAAGGCTGAGTATTCCTTTGCATTATGAGCCTGAAGCCAGGAATAACTAAGAAGCTGCCTATATATGACCACACTGCTTTTGCCTTTCTGGCTCTTAAATTCTTGAGTTTGATGATGGGTGACAGTCTGTTGGAAAGCAGAAAAGCTATCATGTCTACCTTCTCCTGATGAGAAATGATTCCCCCGCGGGAGTGAAATCCATGGCAATGATTTCATCCTTGAGATTATTTAGAAGAAAAGGGAGCATGTTCCTTGGAAATGTTTTTTAGCAAACACATAAAAGAATGGCCTCTGGGTTATTTTTAATCAGTGCTTAGAAACATGAGTTC